GTATATAAATCAAACCTCGCAACATACGCCATACAAAACAAACATAACTTTCCCCCACCAGAGAACATTAACTCATGAAACAAGTCAATGAAGGAAACCGTATGGACATCTGGGAAAACTTAAACATCCATAAATTAAACAGTCATAAATCACTTATCGAGGAACAAGTACAAATTACTACACATCAAGACCTACCATTCAATATATAACACGAAACAATACACATTCCTAGACACAGTGAACCTAGAGAAAATCACACTTACACAAATCACACTTACACTAAAAATTTGTGAAAAACAATAAATTGTGTGTGTGTGTATGTGTGTGTGTTTTTGAAAGAGTTCGGGAGTCGATGAGGAGTAGATTGAATTCTTGCATCTGAGCGGGGGTAGTCATTTTCAACAGTTCTGGTAGATTATGAAACATTACCTACATGTAATTTTTGGTAATAAAGTGTTTTTATCGAAATTCTTTTTCGCTCCATATCTTCGAAACAAAGCGCCCTATCAAAAATCATCAAAGGACAAAATATCCTTAGAATATCCAAGTCCAAGCAATAGTCCCTCAAATTTTTGCCGCATGTTTAATCAACACCCTGTATAGGACATATTTCTAGACTCCCAGTCGCATAACTTCACACAAAAGCGACTGTAGACTAAACGTTGATTCTTGCACATTGAGTGAACACGTCAATACGGAGGATTACAGAATGGATTTCGATAACCCAGAAATTTTGGATAGAAACACCAACTCAACTGAAAGATGACTTTTAGAAATGAACCACAGCAATAACGAAAAACATTGCGTGAAAAAGAAAACAGATATTGACAATTTGAGCCAAATTTATACATTTTTAATTAATTTTGATATTAACATTTGTTCACAAAAAGGATTTGAAGCTTTAATAACTCCTAATTATTATATGCGAGCGCTTTCGATGGCAGACTGTGCTATCATCTTCATGTCTCTACTCGAACTGAACGTTTCACCTTCTTGTTTGTTCTTTTATACGGTTAGAACGCCTTAGTGCAGGTATTTGTCGTGCCCTTCCATTCAAATATCTCTTTATACTTGGGTTACATCAAGTAATATCCCATGTGTTGGTGTTTCTCTAGGTTAATTGTTTCCATAAATGTGTATTGTTTCGTAGAGTACTGAATGTTGGGTCTTGTGCTTTGATTTGTATTTGTTCCTCGATAAGTGAATTATGACTTTTTTTAAGGTTTTCCCAGATCTCCTTACAGTTTCCTTTATTGACTTGTTTTATGAGTTTGATGTTTTCTGGTGGGAGAAAGTTATGTTTGTTTGTAATGCGTGTGTTGCGAGGTTTGATTTATATGTTATTGGGTTTGAGTATGCTTTCTTGTGCTCGTCGTGCCTTTGAATCAGTTTTCTTGGTTTGCCCGATATAGAATTTGTTGCAGACCGAGCATTGTATGCTGTACACTCACTTTAGGTTTCTGTCTTCTTGTTGATTCTCAAGGGTTTGAAGATGTTTGTTAATTGAACATACACATCACTTACAAGCCAAACACGAAATTTAATTAAATACGAAAAAGATAAGAAAGACAGTATTTAGAATGTTTCCACATGACATATTTGAAAATTACGTAGCAAAAATTGTACTCACCTTTGAAACGGTTGTTGGCGAATATCACCTGGTGGTTGAGTATATGGTCTAGTCGGAGGTTCTGGATATGGGTCACTGATATTGGCAAAAAAAATACATGAATGAATGAATGTCATCAACTACATAAGAAAGAACGGAAAGACATTGTTATCTACCCATCTATAAATCTATTCATTCATCCACTTATACACTTAGCCGTCTTTCCACCTATCCATCTATACATTGTGTGAAAGCCAAATGGAATACATTCATTAGTTCGGTTACGGTACATATTTTAAGAAAATCCCAAAACAGGTCAAATTTGAATTATAATTTTACCTAAAGTCTTCTCTTATCGGTTTGTAACAGATAAGGACCGTATACCACATCAGCATAGTTCGCATGGGATAAAACAAGTGCGTCGCAAAGAATTTGTTAAGATTGGTGATTCAGTATTTCACGGTTACGGTAGATTGTTTTGAGGTTACAATACCCTCTTTTCAAAATCAGTGAGATATGCGATGAAAATCTTAGCGACGGATTTATCAGCAAACCAAGGTTTTTTATATTGTCATCTTCGTCTTTTATTGGTAACGACACGTTATCGATAGTGATGCTTACATTATTCAAGCACTTTTTTCTAGTTGCTGACCTCCCAAAAACCATGGCAAACGATTTGTTGACATTCACATTTTGTGAGCGAATGATGGACATGTTGGACAAGAATATCTTCCAATTAGAAGGTGTGATGTTTTCTAATGAGAGTACTCTGTCTCTTAACGGTCATGTTAATCGGCAAAATTGCCGCTACTGGTAAACGAAAAATACTCACTAGATGAGAGAAAAACACATGCAATATCCTCAGAAGGTTAATGTTCGAGCAGGAATTGTAGGAAACCATATCATTGGTCCCTTTTTCATTGATGGCAACTTGAATGGCGATAATTATTTGGCACTACTTCAAAATGAGGTAATTCCAAGTTTAGCAAATTTATATCCTGATCTAGAAAACCCTCAAGTTCCAGTGGATACGATATGGTTTCAGCAAGATGGAGCATCACCATATCACCAAGTTAATGTTCGGTAATACCTCGATACAACATTTCCCAATCGGTGGATAGGGAGGCGAGGATCGATTGAATGGCCAGCGCGATCACCTGATCTTTCATCATTAGATTTCTTTTTATGGGAATATGTAAAGTGCAATGTGTACAAAAGTAAATATTCGGATTTGAATGACTTGAATGAACGAATAACGCTTGCGATTAGGTCGGTCACGCCTGATATGTTGAATAATGTTAGAAAACAGTTTTATTTGAATAACGATGAGATTGGAACCTTTGGTGTGAAAGTTGAATAACTTTTTTTGAGATCAATTGCCCTAACACTAAACTGATATTTTTGCACTCGACGCGCGTTTCGCCAACAAAGTTAGCATCCTCAGGAGAAGAAAATTGATACCTAGTCTAGTCTGATTAATCCTTATATACTAAAATTTGTTACCTAAGGTTGTATACCTGAAGTCAAATATGGAATTTCTCGGTAATTAACTACCTGCAAGTTATTAGTAATTATTCTCTCCACAACAGAAAATTAAAAAGCGGGTTGAACGAGATGGGTCCCTTATCGCCATTCATGCTGTTCTTATATTTTGCTATTTCTAGACTCTCACATGCATCGAGTAGCCTTGTGTCATGCACATGCTTAATCAGTTTCAGATTGTTTTCACCAATTCTGTGGTCCTTGTCTAGAGCATGTTGTGCGACACTGGATTTTTCTATCCTTCCGATTTTTTATTTTTACTCTGGGGTCATTTTCATCTTTCAACTTTGTTATTCGATTTGTTTTGTTCTATTTTCATTTCACGTCTGTTTTCTCAATACAAATGATGTTTCAGCTATCGAGTACAAGTATGTCCAACTATGGAAAGTATCACTCTGCAAATGTAAGACAAAAGAGTTTCTAGTACTCACCCACAAGGGCCTACCCCATCTCTGCTTGGACTTTCATAACTTCTGGAGCTGGTGCCATATGCTCCCGCCTCATCTGATTGACGAGGTATTCGCAATTTGGATTTTGTTGCAATTGCAGAAGCATCTTCAAGAAACCTACGCCTGGCTTGGTGGTACTTCTGTAGTTCTTCTAGGATGAGCTGTGTCTCAGCCTTTTCGATTTCATCTACATCAGCAGGGTCTGTTGGCTGCAGTCCATGGGGAATATAATCGTTTGGAAATGGTCTTTCATCGAACCTAACGAAATATGAAGATAATTTGAAATATTTTGAGTGAATAGTGATCAGTCTTGAGTCGTTTTCAACTTCTCATCTTCAACAGACTGATGAATAACATCGAATCTAAACATCAACCGCGGCAATGGGATCAATTACTGGTCTGACCCCTCTGGACCACCTGTACGTTGGGGAGGTTGCATTGATGAAAATGTTACGATTGCGCACGGCTGGTGTAAACCTCGAAGTAGGAATTTGTCAATTGAGGTTGAGTCTATGGCGAGAACCGCTCACTGCGCAACCTCTGCTGCAAGCAACCAGTAATGCAGTTGAACCCAGGTTTGTGTTTATTGTACCCTACAAAATACGAATATAACAGAACACAGAGTCAGACGCTACAAATGCAATAAGCATATATACAGACAGCTCAAAAACCAAAAAAGGATCAGGATGTGGAGCGTACTCCAAATCACTAAGCATAAGGATTAAGTAGAGAATGGGAATATTATTGAAGTTTTTCCCCAACACAGAATCGTTATTTTTAACACTTCGCCACGTGTTTGGATCACCAAGTGATCATCTTCAAAGAGGTTTAATCTTCCTCTTTGAAGATGATCACTTGGTGATCGAAACAACTGAACCTTCAGATTTGAATGAATGAAGAAAACGAATAACGATTGCGATTAGGTCGGTCACGCATGATATGTTGAATAATGTTAGAAGACAGTTTTATTTGTGAACATTGTGAACATGTACTTCGTTAACATCCACATGATTTTGATTAATTTTATCTTATTTGTTGCAATAAACTTGAATAGAGAATGAAGAGACCTTTCAAAGATGCTCATCGGTAAGGAATGTTGCTTGAGTGAACAAATTATTGCTGAAACTCAAGCATATTTTGTGGCAAAAGATAAATCGTTCTACAAAAGTGATATTGAAATATTGAAACGATGCTGGAATGATTGTGTGACTCTTGATGGAGATAACGTTGATGAAAAAAGCCAATTTTAAACAAAAAAATGCAATTTCTTTCTTAGGCCCGAGACTTTTCGGCCCATGTAAATATTCGTTTTCGTTGTTCACATTTATCTTATGTTGTCAAACTTATCTTAGTGAATTCCAGTGATGTTTCAAGAACACAATCAATAACACTTTGCAGACTTAGTGGATGTGGAACAACCAACTTTTTACTCACCGAAAAACTGGTCGCTGATGAAAACCATCTGAGAATCCTGACTGAAGCAAACGGTTTTACTTCGTAAATCTTCAACTTTTCAAAAAGAGAAGAGTAATAACAAGTTTATAGTAATCCTATATGAACCCCAATACACGAGAGGGCTTCAACAGATATTCGATAAAGTAAATATGAAAGTTGCATATAAAACTTCTTATAGATTGCATCAGCTTCTTGGTAATCCAAAAGATGAACTAGAAAACACAGAAAGGTCGGGGATTTACGAAATCAGTTGTCAAGATTGCAACAGCAAATACATCGGCCAGAACCGACGAGCGATTGAAACCCGTTTCAAGGAGCATTGTGCACACATGAAATACGGAAGGATAGAAAAATCCAGTGTTGCCCAAAATGCTCTAGACAAGGACCACAGAATTGGTGAAAACGAACTGAAACTGATTAAGCATGTGCATGACACCAGGCTACGCGATGCATGTGAGAGTCTAGAAGTAGCAAAATGTAAGAACAGAATGAATGGCGATAAGGGGCCCATCCCGTTTAGCCCGCTTTTTAATATAATTACTAAGAACTTCCAGGTAGTTAATTCCATATTGGACTTCAGGTATACAACCTCAGGTAACAAATTTTAGTATATAAGGATCAATCAGACTAGACTAGGTATCAATTTTCTTCTCTTGAGGATGCTAATTTTGTTGGCGAAACGCGTCGAGTATATTTTAACGAATTTCGGTAACCACATGATTTTAATTAATTTTATCTTATTTGTTGCAATACACTTGAATAGAGAATGAAGAGAAGAGATATTGAAATGTTGAAACGATGATGAAATGATTGTGTGACTCTTGATGGAGATAATGTTGATGAAAAAAGCCAATTTAATAGCAATTTCTTTCTTAGGCCCCGGACTTTTCGGCCCATGTAAATATTCGTTTTCGTTGTTCATATTTATCTTATGTTGTCAAACTTATCTTAGTAAATTCCAGTGATGTTTCAAGAACAAAATCAATAACACTTTGCAGACTTAGTGGATGTGGAACAACCAACTTTTTACTCACCGAAAAACTGGTCGCTGATGAAAACCATCTGAGAATCCTGTTCGAGAAACTTGAGCTCCCCTTGGTCTATTGTCTTCAAGCCTATTACAGAAAATCATAATTTCAATTCAGGACAAAGAAAATCTGAATCTAGATTCAACATATTGCTCTTTCTTCACAGACGGCACAATTAGCAAACGACACACAACAATTCAAAGACGCATGGTTTGATGACTGAAACAAATTTTATTCACTGCTTGGGAACCTCTCACACTTTAATACTTTGTGAAGAACCTTTGCTGTATGTTTGCCAAATTCTCTTGTACATAATTTGGACCATTCATAAATTGCTCGCCCATTGGATTAGTGTTGCCACGAAGACGAGAGATTCTCGTCTTTTGTCTCGTTTTGTCTTGTCTCCAATGAGACAGAAGATTGAATCATCTTGGTCAAAACAAGACAAGAGAGGACAAGATAAGTGGAGATGAAGGTAATCATAAGAATTCAGTAATCTCCAACGGTCCTTGAGGATGGTGGAAGTGCAGTCATGAGACATGTACGAAATTAGGGATGAATGTGCAAAAGTCCATCTCGAAAAACGACCTTGTGGGGATCAAGGAGAGGATGTGCAGCTCGTAGATGGAATCATCCTACACGATTTGGATATCGGAAAGACGTATACTTACCTCGGGGTGGAACAACGCCACTGATAAAAGGTAATAGTAGTGAAGAACTCTTCGCGGCAATTATCAGCACCAACTCCAACAGATCTGATCATCAGAACTGCTACGAATATGCTTGCCATTCCAATCTCACTCTACTCGTTTGAAGTAGTGAAGTGGACTCTATAGGAGCTGTATCAAATCGACGTAAAGATCCGAAAAATGATTCATATCGTCCGTTCCATGGTTGTACTTTCCTCTGACTACAGGAAGGCCGTGAACTTTTCGAGTTTGGAGTGTCTACTAGATAGAGCATGTAAAGTCATCGTTACGGGCTTTTTCCTGGCTCAGAAGGAGTCTTTTTCTACACCCGTACTTTAACAATACACTTATATGACCATAATCCGTTTCATAATGATATCCATTATGATACAGATTTTTCATAACGATACAGATTATCAACCAATAGAAACCCATAATTTTTCAATCAAGAATCCTGTTCCTTTGTTTGTCCTAGATTCTAACCTAAGTAACTAATTGCTTTATTTGTCAAAATCAGTTTTCATATTACCTACCTATATTATCAAAATGTCTGAAAACAGCGATATAGAAGGAATACCATCGACTCCAATATTTTTAAAAGATCAGATTAATTACAGTTGTTATATTCAATATAAATATAATTAGAATCTTTATAGTTTTCATATATCCATGATAATACCATTAAGTTTGTGTTTTTTTAAAAAAATATGAGTTAATTACTGTAAATGTGTTCAATACAAATATAATATTTATAGTTTTTCATTATTTATCGGGTTTAGAAAAAATAGCGTATGCAACTCTCATGTAATGGTTATTAATACACTCGCATATACCATACAAAACTCGCCTTCGGCTCGTTTCGTATCCCGGTTAATGCTCGTGTCTTAATAACCATCATTACATGATCGTTGCATAATATACTTATTATATACTGTGTAAGAGTTATATCAGTTGTTACTCTGAAGGGTGAAACCGTATCAAAACTTTATAGTGCTCTACCGACAGCCAGTATTTGAGGTAGGGTAGAGCACTGGTTAGCTCAGTGGAGACGGGTGGTCTCTAATATACTTTCTAATATACTAATACCTAGCTCTGTACGTACTAGGGGTTGAAACAAGTCTAATTCATTTATACAGTTAAACAAGTTAGTTTGAAAATAATTACAAATAATTTGGCTGGGGACGAAACTGGGTGTTAAAAGAAAATGTCAATGATGTAGTCATCCGATTCGTTAGCTTTCCTCCTTTTTGGCTGCAACCTGGAAACTTGAAACTGCACTCCCCTAACTTCCAGTAAGTAGTGGAACTGTCAGGCTTTCGAATTTCCGAAAATCCTTTATAACGTTATCCAACGGCATAAAAAGGAAAAGGCCTAGAGGATAGAGAGAACATTATAACTCTAGAACACTTTATCAACTATTTTATCCATACCTTAGATGAAGGGTGGCCTTAGAGTCTGATTTAAGCTTTGTATCCCTTTTAAAAGAGATAATAACAACTAAGCTCACAACACTAGTTGTTAAAAAATGGAATACGGCAGTTCAATCCCCAATTGTGGGTAATAGTAATGAAAAATAATCCAGAAAATAATCCAGAAAATAATCCAGAACTCGTATTTTCACATTCACTAAATAAACACACTGTGCTCCTGCCTGAAATCTTTTACTACTGATTCACATTTTCAAATGTTGGAAAGGGTCTAGGCTCCCGTTTACGAATCCAAATATTTAATATCATTGTTGAACTTCTTTGTCCCACTCATGAGAATATTTCACCTAATTTGGCAGCTGATTGTCGGTGATTGATGCGGAACGATATTTAAAGTTGACGAGACATCGAGAAACATATCTAGTTGCGAACTTTGTAAAACAATGACCCTGATATAATTCATCGAATATGCGAAACAGACAGACAACCACTCTAAGAGAAATTATACTGTAACATCATGAGGAGTTCGGATCCTCTTCTCTGCATGATCCTCTATCATCTTCTATCATCCTTCAGGGCAGCTGCTCGATTGACTTTTCGATACTGAACGAGGTGATCACAACTCTGTCACTGGGACCCGTTTAGCAAAATGCCCACATGAAAGCCACTCAAATCACGTCACTCCTGCGGCAACAAGAAGAAAAGCCAATACATGAGGCCTTCTTTAACAACATCAAACGTCGCTGCACATGACCTTCCAGTGGGCTGAAGTCGGAAACTGAGGAGTTCATCATGGCCTGCCAGGATCAACGATTATGGACATACAGGATTGCTTACTTACATATATCGCCACGTTAAACAAGTGCCGAGCAGATGTGACGTAACATTGGTGACACTTTTAGTAGCTGCCAAGACTGTGTGTTATTTTAACATATTTTGAGGATTATTTTCGGACAGTATTACATTGTTTTTGTATATTTTGATTGAATTTTTATTTAACTATACCAATTAGGTTTCTGAAACATTGAGTTTGTTATTGTGAAAGTCGTATTTTTTGTGCTTTTGGACATGTTTTAAACTGGTGTAACGAGAGCCGATGCAATTCTTGGAGAGTCACCCTGTAGTAACTAGTGTAGATCNTCAATAAGAGATTTACCTGAAATTTGTTAATTTTAATTTAAAAGTGCAGTACCGAATCAATCCAGAGTCATCACTGTTACGTCACGAGACCACGTGGCGTGTACAACAAAATCGCAAAAGTAAGCAATCCTGTATGTCCATAATCGTTGAGCCAGGATGATGTGTCCAACATCTCAGTCTGCCGCAGCCGCGTGATGAGTTTGAAGGTTCCTGATATGAGGTGCATGGCCTGCCGTGAGGCGTCCGAGACCCTAATACACTTGCTATCAGCATGTCCTGCAGATGCAGGGGCAGCCTGTATCCGTCGAAATAACGCAATCATAAGAGTGCTTCATTACCATCTACGGCACTTCGGGGGATATTAATTCCGTGGTAAGGAATAAGAAGTGCCGAATTTATTGGCGCATGCAACCCAAACCAACCCAACCCGAGAAAGGAAGCAGGTAACCAAAATCAATGAATTTGTATCAACAGCAATAAGCATAGACCACGGGGTTCCGCAGGAAAGTATTTTGGGGCCATTACTATTCTTAATTTACATTAATGATATCAGCAAATGTAATGAATGTGAATATGAACATTATTTCGCTGATGATGCCGTAGTATCGGTTAGTGATAAAGATATAGATAAAGCTATTAAAAAAATGAATGAAGCATTGCATAATATTGCTATATATTTAAAAACTAATGAATTGAAGCTGAATGTAAACAAAACAAAGGCTATGATACTTACTACACCGTTTAAATACAGAGAATTAGATTTAAATCAAATTGAAATAAAAATAGAGAATGATAAAATTGAGCTCATTACTGAATTCAAATATCTAGGATTTATGTTAGACAATCATCTATCAATTATGTGATATATTTCACCTTTTATTCTTTTTTTGTATTTTCAATTATCGTAGGTAAGACTACTCATTAACAAATATAAGTAGATCTTTTTTGTATTATTGTATTTATATGTATATTAATGTTAACACTTCTATCATTGTTGTATATATTAGGATGTATCCTATTTGAACAAAGAATTTCATTTCAATGAGCCTGATATATGTTTTTTTGACCATCAGACCAAGACAATATTCTTTGTCAAATTTTCAGCTCCCATTGAGATGAATTCTGACCGAAAATAGGAGAAGAAACGAATGAAATGTCGAGATTATCACTTCGATGTCGTCTCAGCTCTCAAGATCATGCCAGCTTGCTGCACGATAACAGAAATATTGATAGGAAAATGCAGAAAACTGTCATTATTGGCACATGCTTTTCAGACCCAATGATCACTTATTCCTCAGTGTGATCCTGAAGAAGCTATATTGCGCTGAGCATATAAAACCCTAAGTACCTCAGTTCAAACACCTCCATTGATCCCTTCTTATTAGAATACTCACATTGTTGATTGATGACCAACTATCTTTTCATTGAACTCTGTAAAACTTTCCGGTTCTAATAATGTGTGATGAGGCCTGAAGGTGATTGCTTCTCTGTTTCCATCGAGAAAAAGCGATTTCTCAGAGGTCTTCCTTTTGGCAACGACAACAGGTTGACTATGCAGTTTGACTGGAATTTCTATGATAGTTGTGTCTGTCGAGTCTATTGTTCCTTTTGGTATAATGAGCTTTTGTGTTTTGTTTTTCGATGCATCTTTCACCATTATGAATTTTGAAATGTGTGGATGATCACATATTAGAAATAACTTTATGACATTTAGAATGAATGTAACTGTCTTTCATAGATTTCTTCAGCATGTCAAAAAGTGACATGTTACGTTTTGTGTCTGATGTTTCATACAGATTGATTTTTTTTGGCAGGATAATGATGAAAACAGGATATCAAAAGACAAAATTTCGAACTGTAAAGATCTACGAACAAGTAATCGAACGATAAAATTATAGAACAGACATTTTGAATGAATATATGTGATTGATGACTTGTTTCTTTTTGGTAATTCATGATCATTTCAATATGTAAAACACATATTAGATAAGAGTCATACAAATCCATATATAACTACCGAATTTTACAATCTTCTTGATACATGTATGAAACACAATTTTTTCAAATATAATAATGTTCACCTGCAAAACTCAGGTTTCCCTATGGGCTCACCATTGAGTCCCATTCTGGCAGAAATTCCCATGGACACACTAGAAAACACCCACATCCTCAATAACGCCCTTTCACAGAAATATATTGTGTTTTGGTTCAGATATGTAGATGACGTACTGGTTGGTTTTGACGGTTGAAACAGATATATCAATCAATTTTTAAAATTTCTCAATAGTCTGCATAACAAAATTAAGTTCACAGTAGATATCAAACAAAACAAGGAGCTTAACTTCTTAGATTCGAATATTTCATGAGTTAATAATGGTTTTCAATTCAATATCCACCGGAAAAACATGTTCACAGACTGTACAATTTCCTTTAACTCTTTTAGTCCGATCTCACATGAGTTATCCGCGTTTAGGTCAATGATACACAGAGCTCTCGCAATCCCTTTACCGGAAAAGAATTTCCAAGATGAAATAAAAATTATTAAGTAAATTGCAGTGAACAATAAGGTACCAATTTCCCTAATAGCAAAGATAATACCAGGTAAAAGTCACAAAACACTCAAACTAACCAGGAACACAATATAGTCAAGTACAGTAGCATCAATTACTCAGGTCAACTTTCAGAAAATATTCAAAATTATTTATCTAAATACAATATATCAACAGCTTTCACAAGTAATAATGATTTAGGTAAAACCTTGTATTTGCAAAACCCAAACGGAATAGAATAAAAAAATCAGGTGTATATAGAATAGTGTGGCGAATGCTCTGCGGTATATACAGGCCAAACTGGTAGAAATTTTGACATAATACTGCGTGAACACGTCTGTTTGGACAAAAAATTTCTCAATGTACGAACATTTTTTTTGTATCAAGATGGAGTAGTAGACAGCCAAAAACTTTCTTTCCCAAAATTTAATCACTCCTAAAAATATAACCCCTCCGATTCAAATAAGATTCCTCTTGGCTGGGATTGAATCAAATAGGTAAATGAATGTCATTACGATGTCATCGATGACATAAGCAGATCAAGCTCATTCCGTGAATTAAAAAATCGTAATTCATGAATGAAGTGTGTGTATTTTCTATGATGTTATTCAATTTGGTACTGAAGAGCCTTGAGGCAAGTGTCTTAAGGCGAAACATCGATGTATACCAGTGAGGATGAAATATTAACATTTGTTCACAAAAAGGATTTGAAGCTTTAATAACCCCTAATTATTATATGCGAGCGCTTTCGATGGCAGACTGTGCTATCATCTTCATGTCTCTACTCAAACTGAACGTTTCACCTTCTTGTTTGTTCTTTTATACGGTTAGAATGCCTTAGTGCAGGTATTTGTCGTGTCCTTCCATTCAGATATCTCTTTATACTTGGGTTACATCAAGTAATATCCCATGTGTTGGTGTTTCTCTAGGTTAATTGTTTCTAGAAATGTGTATTGTTTCGTGGAGTATTGAATGTTAGGTCTTGTGTTTTGATTTGTTCCACGATAAGTGAACTATAACTTTCTTTTAGGTTTTCCAAGATGTCCTTATAGTTTCCTTTATTGACTTGTTTTATGAGTTTGATGTTTTCTGGTGGGAGAAAGTTATGTTTGTTTGTTATGCGTGTGTTGCGAGGTTTGATTTATATGTTATTGGGTTTGAGTATGCTTTCTTGTGCTCGTCGTGCCTTTGAATCAGTTTTCTTGGTTTGGCCGATATACAATTTGTTGCAGTCCGAGCATTGTATGCTGTACACTCACTTTAGGTTTCTGTCTTCTTGTTGATTCTCAAGGGTTTGAAGATGTTTGTTAATTGAACATCAACATCACTTAGAAGCCAAACACGAAATTTAATTAAATACGAAAAAGATAAGAAAGGCAGTATTTAGAATTTTTCCACATGACATATTTGAAAATTTCAGTGTCTCGAAAATGGAATTGAGTGGTATGACTCTCTCATCAATTATTTCATATTTTCATGTACATTTAGAAATGATAGAACATTCATATAAATCTAGATCACATAGCAAATATTTTACTCACCTTTGAAACGGTTGTTGGCGAATATCACCTGGTGGTTGAGTATATGGTCTAGTCGGAGGTTCTGGATATGGGTCACTGATATTGGCAAAAAAAATACATAAATGAATGAATGTCATCAAATACATAAGAAAGAACGGAAAGACATTGTTATCTACCCATCTATAAATCTATTCATTCATCCACTCATACACTTAGCCGTCTTTCCACCTATCCATCTATACATTGTGTGAAAGCCAAATGGAATACATTCATTAGTTCGGTTACGGTACATATTTTAAGAAAATCCCAAAACAGGTCAAATTTGAATTATAATTTGATATACTTCAACGGAAAAATGCTATCCCTACCTTCAACCCCTTCTTCGAATGACAGGTACAACCTCCAATTTTTTAAATGGGAAGTATAGGTTTGCGATATATCGTTTGGAAGGTCTCTTCATTCTCTATTACCTTTACGTTAGTTTAAAACGCCTTGTCAAGTGTTTCTATATGTACCTACTTGTTGTACTTGGTACAACATAAGTTGTCGGTATTTTAATTTAAATTTGAAATTCGTTAACTTCAAGTCTGACAAATGGTTTGATTGATAGAAATGCATAAAATAACAATTTCACAAATGATTGGTTACGGATATGAAACTCGAACACAACAGGAATTGTAGCCCGCCTATTTCAAGAAAAATTTTTGAATTCACCGCCCATATCTCAAGGAACAATAAGCAAAATAGAGATGCAGTTTCACAAGCTTGGTCATGTGGCGCAGGTAAATAAAGCAGCTGCCAATGCAATGAGGGATTAGCTCAAATTAGATGTGATGCTTGGGTTTGAGGAAAAGACACATACATCGAGTATACAGGCATCCACTACATATAATGTTAGCCATACATCGATAGTAAACATCAAAAGAAAATGAAAGGCATCCCTATAAAATGATACCCACTCAGGAGTTCATGGAAGACGATTTTGATAGAAGAACTTAATAATAATACTAAGGAAACACCTNCGTCTCAAAAATTTTCCTGTAGTGCTTGTGGTTCTATCATGCTGGTCGCTCTCTTGGTTTTGCTGAATAACAAAGTTACGGTTAACAATTGAAGTTCATCGATGGAATTTTGGAGTGGTTTTACTTCCGCAACCATCATAATGAACCATGAATACGTGGGGCGAGTGACCTAGACTTCAATTTTCTCATCATTCTATCGGTTTGGAGGAAAAATAATCAACATCGACTCAAAATTCATCTTATATGAAAAAAAAAATACTTCACCACAGTTCCTAACCTTCTTCTTTCTACAGTTTGCATTTCCCTCTCGTACCTAACCTCTTCGCCACGGTTAGACCTCCTTCTCTCTAACGGTCTGTCTCGTGTCCCCGTCTGCAACTCCCTGGAAACCAATAACGGATCTAATTCACGTGGCTTACTTTGTTTCTGAACATTACTGTGAGGTTTGGATTCAGATCCGTTGTCTGGACGGTTGTGTTTCAGACACGGCTGTAAAGTGTTACCGGAAGAGCAATCTGCCTCTAGGGATGCTTGGGCGATGACTTTGTCTAGTTTCTTTCGAGCTTCTCGGAATTGGGTGGCGATTTCGCATAGATCTTGGGTAGACAGTAAGCCAGGGCGTTGCCTTGAAAAAAATCAATCTCAAGCAGGAAATAACATAATTTAATGAAAGAATGTAAGTTTGCACGGCTGTTTCGAAGCAATTGCGCCCATTGCAGCATCAACTTTGTTCATGTTTACTGCGGAACCTCAGATGAGAACCCGCAGATCACGCCCGAAAAATAACTCTGGAAGACTACAATTTGATTCATAATAATGATAATAATGCATCCCAAATCGTCCGTTCTACGATTGTACATCCCTCAACATCAGGAACCCGTGGACTTTTGAGTTAGGAGTGTCTACATGACAGGATGGTACTGGATGAAGCCTGTAAAGTCATCAGGAGTTTGGACCCCTTTCTCTGCATGTTCGGCCACCATGAGAGAGCAGAAATTGAAGCATTTCTCTTCAGGACAGCTGTCGAGCGACTAGTGAACTCAATTTGGTTTTGGATACTAAACAAGGTGATCGTCGTCTGGCAAAAAGCCCATAGAAAAGTCGCAGATGCGGCAACACAGGAATGAGCCAATGCATGGGGTCTTCTTCAACAACATTGAAGACCTGTACTCATCAAAGTACCTGACCTTCACTTTTCTTAGATTAAGGGGGCTGAAGTCGATAACTGATGGGTTCATCATGACTTATCAGGATGGTGTCCTCAATACCTTAGTCTACCACAGTCCCGTGGGTTGGGCTACCTATCGGCGCGAACCCCAGGTGGCGGATAGGGGAATGGCCAGCGGACTGGTAGCTCTGTCCGGGAAGCCAATTTGGCCTTACAGACGGGGTCGCCAAACTCCTGGTCAGTGGCAGAAATAAGTAGGGTGAGGGGAACTAAAATTCACCAAAAGCTTTTGCGAAACATATCACCGTGGACCAGCCTACCCGAGCTAAGGTGTAAGGAATTGTGCCGACAGCTGAATGGCCGCAGAGTGATATACAGCTACGAACGATACTCTTGGGGAAACGGGCGAAACCTCATGGTAATCAGCCTTCCTTTGGTAACGCAGGGCTCTGCCAGAGTGATCAACTCTTTTTCTGCTACTCGTGGGAACACACATGAATAAAACAAAAACAGACACTGAAAAAACAGAAACCAATCCCGAGGCTGGACAGAAATGCTACGGCGGTGGCTGGGGATGAACAGAAATGTCCACCTCAATCTACCACTTGAAATGAGGATGAACATTGCAAATCACCTCGTGATATAATACATAGGCCAAGGCGTAAGCGCATTTGCGGTGCCGACGCCAAAAAAAAAGAGAGCTATAGAGGCAGGAGTGGCAAGAACTATAAGTGCAACCTCCTCCTCCCCCAGTCCACCTTCAACAGCAAGGGCACTTCCTGCGGCGGGTGCCAAGAGCTCCGTCTTGAATAAAGGCAAGGAACAGGCTGCCCCTGCAGGAAAGC